AGGGCACGTCCCTCGGTTGCAGGCTCCCTCCCCAGCCAGGCTCTGGTCGGGGTGCATGCAAGAGGCACCTAATCGATGTGTCACTCTCACATCAGTATTTCTCGCTGTCTTTCCCTCTCTGTCCTACTCTTTCTAGAAATATCCTCGGGTGAGGATTAAAAAATAAATAGAGGGGTGGGGCGAGGAGAAAAGAAGGGACAAGGTGTCCACGCCAGTCTTGCAGGAAGAGAGGATGTGATGCATCGGAGGAGGGAAGCCATGGTGTGACTCAGGAAAAGGTGTTTCATTGTCACGTGATAGCGCCGGTAGCCGGTGGCGCTGCCCCCACGCCCCTGCCCGCGTCCCTGGGGAGGGGGCAGGAAACAAGGTCACTGAAGGTCTTACGTCTGCATACTGTATTTATTTAGTTGGACTTTTTTCTCCTGAGGAGAGCGGACCCACCGCGTTAACGCAGCCCCGATCTCCAGGGGGATGAGGGCAGGGTGCGGGGTTCTCTGGCCTCCGCGTTTCTGGGCTCGGTGGCTGGGTTCCCGGGGTCCCTCCGGCCTGGTTCCCGCCCCGACCACCTCAGCAAACCTCCCGCCCTGCCGGGAACACCCTGCTTAGGAGCGCTCACCCGCCCTGGGTCCCCTTCCCCGGTCCGTGATTAGCATCTGTCGCATTGAAACTGGAAAGCAATACATCAGCGTCTGTGCCAATGCCCTTCCCCCTCCGCCTCCTCCCCGTTTTATTTATATGGAATGTGCGCTTCACGATGGAATGACCGCCCCTCCGTCGCTGGAAAAGCGCCCCTTCGCTTGGCCGCCGTGGGGGGCTCACCAGGGATCCCCCATGCCCCCGGGTGGGCAAGCCAGCAGCGGGCAGAGGAAGGCCCGGAGCCCAGATGCGACCCTCGCTGCTCGGCGGCCAGGCCCAGGCGCTGCAACAAGAAATGAAGCCTCCCGGCCCTGGCCCCGGGTCTGGAGCCCTGAGCTTTGTTCTGTCCTCCCCGGGCCGCCCGCCTCCCGCCAGGGAGGGGCCCGGGCTGGTCTCAGCAGCTCCTTCTGCCTTTGAGCGCCACCATCTGTACCGCGTGGGGGAAGGGGCCACTGACACTTTCATTAAAGTTGCCTGAGACGACCTGGCCTGCGTGGTGGTGGTTGCTGCACGAAGAGGGAGAACCGCTGGGCACTTTTGGGGTGGGCAGTGCGGCGGGTGGCGTGAGGGCCAGGTGCCCCCTGGGCCTCGGGGCGGGAGCTGTGCCCACCGTTATGGAGGGGCTGCTGGACGGTGTCGGGACACGGAGCAGCATCAGTCACTCCGAGGGGAGCGAGAGCTTCGGGCCATCTGGTTTGAGAGAGGACAGGGGAGCGTGGGCTCTGCCAAGCCCGGGGGCAGGGGAGCGCTAGCCTCACCTGGCCCGGCCCTGCAGAGCCCTCAGCCTCCTGGGACCCAGGCTCGGTGGTCTGGCCTCTGTAGCCTGCAGGCCCTGGTCGCTCTTAGCCACCACGGCCTCGCACTGAGTGTGCGGCCCCTAAAAGGCTGTAGTGTCTCTACCCTGATCTTCTCAGTCCTGTTTAGAGACCTTTATTATTTTTTTAAGTGTATTTTTATTGACTTCAGAGAGAGAGAAACAATGAGAGAGAATCAGGGATCGGCTGCCTCCTGCACCCCCCCTACTGGGGACCGAGCCTGCAACCTGGGTATGTGCCCTGACCCGGGATGGCACTCTGACCTCCTGGTTCGTAGGTCGACGCTCAACCCCTGAGCCACGCCGGCCGGGCATGAAGACCTTTAAAAAAAGTCCTGTTACATCTCTGACTTGGGGTTGACTTTTCAGGCCAGAGCTGACGGTCCCCGTGTTCCTGAGAGCAGGGACTCTGTCCGGCCGAGCCCAGGCCACTGTCGTTGCCCAAGAAGTGGGACCACTCGCTGCTGCCCAGCATCTGAGATCCTGACACTTCAAAGGGCCACCGCAGGCCTCTCGGTCCAACGCCTTTGCTTGATAGATGGGTAAACTGAGGCATACAAAGCCCCCCCGCCCCCACATACACACACACTCAGCATCCCAGAGCAGGTTCATGAGCAGAAGCTGGGATTTCGGGTTCTTGATGGCCCCCCAAACTGACTCCCTTCCTGCTGGACTAGACTCAGCCAGACCACGGCACGGGTCTGGACACACGGACTGAGGCCTCCTGGCATTGGGCACACACCCTGGGTGCCTAAAAGGAGGGCAGGGTTTTGTATGAAAATACCAGAAGATGCCTTAGCCCAGTGGTTCTCAACCTTCTGGCCCTTTCAATACAGCGCCTCATGTTGTGACCCAACCATAAAATTATTCTCGTTGCTACTTCCTAACTGTCATGTTGCTACTGTGATGAATCGTCATGTAAATATCTGATAGGCAGGATGGTCTTATGCGACCCCTGTGAAAGGGTCGTTCGACCACCAAAGGGGTTGCGACCCACAGGTTGAGAACCGCTGCCTCAGCCCGTTTGACTTAGTGGTTAGAGCATCAACCCGAGGATTGAAGGGTCACGGGTTCGGTTCTGGTCTAGAGCATGGACCTCAGTGGCAGGCTTGATCCCCAGCCCTAGCTGGGGTACGTGCAGGAGGCAACCAATGGGTGTGGCCTCTCTCACATCAATGCTGCTTCTCTCTGTCTCCCCCCATCCCTTCCACTCTCTCTAAAAAGAAAAGTCAGCCGGAACCGGTTTGGCTCAGTGGGTAGAATGTCGGCCTGCGGACTGAGGGGTCCCAGGTTCGATTCCGGTCAAGGGCATGTACTTGGGTTGCGGGCACATCCCCAGTAGGAGATGTGCAGGAGGCAGCTGATCGATGTCTCTCATCGATGTTTCTAACTCTCTATCTCTCTCCCTTCCTCTCTGTAAAAAATCAATAAAATATATTAAAAATAAATAAATAAAAAGAACAGTCAGAGGAGCCCTGGCCGTGCGGCCCCGTTGGCTGGAGCAAGGTCCTGCACGCTGAAAGGTCGCGAGTTCAGTTCCCACCCAGGTCGCAGGTTCGACCCCTAGTCCAGGTGAGTACAAGGCGCGATGGACCAAGGTTTCTCTCTCTCATGGATGTTTCTCTCCTTCCGTCCTCACTAAAAAAATAAAAGTAAAACATTTAAATCTCAACCTTTATACCCTCCCTGCCACCCCCGCCAAAGAATGCTCCAGTTTCCTTAAAAGGAAGTGGGTCCACTGACTAATGATGGGCTGTCAAAAAAAATAGCTCTTGAAAGAAAAACAGAAAAAATGAGGGGGTGACAGACACACCCAACTCTTGATGAAGCCAGAAGGCCTCCCGGAGCCGGCGCCGCTGCCCGGGGGCAGGGGGCAGGATTGGGGCTGAGGTCACCCCTGGGTGAGCGGGGAGCTGTCAGCCCTGGGGCTGCGGGGGTGGGGGGAGAGCTCGGTCAGCGTGACTGGAGTGGGAGAGCGATGGGTCAGCTGCCAGGCAGAGTCTGCGTCACCCGAGTTCCCCCAGCACCGAAAGGCCAGCCAGGCCATGGTGACGAACGGGAGCCCATGTAAATGTTCTGGGGGACAGGGCCCTGTCGCGTCTCCCAGACGTGTGTGTCCAGGTTGGAAAGGAAACCAGGGGCGGCCTGGCCGGTGTGGCTCAATGGATAGAGCCTTGGCCTGCGAACTGAAGGGTCCCAGGTTCCATTCCGGTTAAGGGCATGTGCCCGGGTTACTGGCTCGGTCCCCAGTGTGGGGCATGCAGGAGGCAGCCGATCCATGATTCTCTCTCATCGCTGATGTTTCTCTCTCTCCCTCTCCCTTCCTTTCTGAAATCCATAAAAGTATATTTAAAAGAAAAGAAAGGGAACCAGGGCCCTGACCGGTTTGGCTCAGTGGATAGAGCGTCGGCCTGCGGACTCAATGGTCCCAGGTTCAATTCCAGTCAAGGGCATGTACCTTGGTTGGGGGTACGTCCCCAGTGGGGAGTGTGCAGGAGGCAGCTGATCGATATTTCTAGCTCTCTATCCCTCTCCCTTCCTCTCTGTAAAAAAATCAATAAAATATATTTAAAAGAAAAGAAAGGGAACCAGGGAATTTGGGGGACCAAGGCTGCCTGGAGGGATGAGCCAAGTGTCCTGAGCCAGGCCGCCGGCCGGACCTCACAGGACTGTGTGTTCCGAGCCAGGCCCTCGGGGCTCCTAGGACAGCGAGGGCTCAGTCCGCACACCGAGTACTTTTCTGTCCCCTCCCGTGGGTGGACCCGGGCAGGCCTGACCACAAGCTCCCCTTCGGTTCTCAGTCACTTTATGGAAACTTGAGCCCTGCGCCCGGGGAGGCGTCGGTTCAGATGGGATTCCGGCCAGAGAGCAGGCCTGAGGCGCGGGCCTCACCGGGCTCAGGGCCTGAGGAGCCAGAAGAGCAGGCACCTGAACGGTGGCCACCCCCGGCCCGGGGCCTCCCCGGGGGCTCGAGAGCTTGAGTGACCATAGACGGGCAGACGTGTGGAACGTGCGGCATGGCTTCATGGGGAAGCCAGACCCACCCAGAGAGCAGCAGCTGCTCATTGAAATTCAGCTACAATTTATTTTTTTAATCTATTTTTATGGATTTCAGAGAGGAAGGGAGAGGGAGAGAGAGAGAGAAACATCCATGATGGGAGAGAATCGTGGATGGGCTGACGCCTCCTGCACGCCTCACACTGGTGATCGAGCCCACAACCTGGGCAGGTGCCTGGGAATTGAACCCTGACCTCCTGGTTCCTAGGTCGTTGCTCAACCACGGAGCCACACCGGCTGGGCTACTGGTTTTGTTGAAGAGGCTGTCCAGGCCATGTCACTTTGGGGGGCCCCAAAGCCCCCCAGCAGCTTCTCCTTACCCCCTGGGCTCCTCAGTCGCAAGGCTTCCTCGCCCCAGAGCTCTGAGCTCCCTGCTGGTGGTTTCTGCGGCGCTTCCTGGGCGGAGAGGGTGCAGAGCTGCGGTGCCTGAGAGATTGGGCAACACTGATCCCCAAGCGAGGTGAGGCGGCGAGGATTTCTCAACCCACCGTGGAGCAATTCTACCTGGGACAGGCCGTCGGCTGCCAGGAGGGTTGGCGTGCCTTGCCGGGAGTGTGCTGTGGGTGGCCTTTGGCCCTGGTACTGCATGGCCACTGCTCTCAAGATGTTCAGAACCGGCCCAGCCAGCGTGGCTCAGAGATTGAGCATCGACCTATGAACCAGGAGGTCACAGTTCCATTCCCGGTCAGGGCACAGGCCTGGGTTGTGGCTCGATCCCCAGTAGGGGGCATGCAAGAGGCAGTCAGTCAATGATTCTCTCTCATCATTGATGTTTCCATCTGTCTCTCCCTCTCCCTTCCTCTCTGAAATCAATAAAATATATAATTTTTAAAAAGACATAATTGTAAAGAAGAAAAAGAAGGAGAGGAGAGGAGGAGGGAGAGGAAGAAGAAGGAGAAGGAGAAGGAGAAGGAGAAGGGTGGGTGGGTGTCTGGGCCAGGGTTTGGGTTCACATCTGGGGACCCACAAAGCTGGCACAAGGGAAGCATTGGCTCACCACTCTCTTCTCATGAGCCTCAGTTTCCCCAGATCTGACATAAGAGGGTCTGATGGTGTCTGATCTCTGGAGGCCTGAGGGAGGAGGGACAACTTGTCCGGAGTCGTCCCCTTCCGGTACCTCTTCTGGGCCGCCTTGCAGGCCCGCTGGGCATCCAGAGGACCCGCCGGGCTTCAGCTGCAGTCGCCAGGCCCCCGGGTCCCTCCTGACCTGCGCACTGTGGTTGTGGAAGGCAAGCAGCTCATCTCTGCCTGCAGACACTTCATCTGTTGTCTGACAGTCGCCCATTTCCTGGGGCCCAATGTTCCCCAGGAAGGCATGTCAAGAATCCCAGCTCCATGTCCTGGCACTCGGAGCCGATGGCCTGATAACCGCTGGGAACAGTTTTCCGATGAAAACTTGGCGCGCAGCCCCCGCCTGCTGGGCTCCTCCAGCTGTGGTTTGAATGGAGCAGCTGGGCCCAGGTTGGGGCGGCAGGGACTGGATGGGGCTGAGCGGATC